GGGGCCGTGTGCTGAGCACGCCCGGCCCCGCGTCTGCCCAGGTGCCCAACATGAAGGAGATCCTGCTGGTGGGCTTCTACCAGCCCAACGAGGCGCTCAGCCGCTTCCTGGTGTCGGCGCAGCAGGAGTTCAAGATCCCCATCAGGTGGGTGCAGCCCCTACGTCGCGGCCCCCACTTGCGCTGGGGTGCCTCGCCCCTGCCCGGCGGAGCCGTGCATGCTCCCCGCGCGAGTCCATGCCAGGGGCAGCTCACCGGGGCGCGGCGCCCGTGCCCGCCCTGCAGGTACCTCCAGGAGTACGCGGCGCTGGGCACGGGCGGGGGCCTCTATCACTTCCGCGACCAGATCCTGTCGGGCGGCCCCGAGGCTTTCTTCGTGCTCAACGCGGACGTGTGCTCCGAGTTCCCGCTGCCCGAGATGCTCGCCTTCCAGCAGCAGCGCGGCGGCGCGCCCGCCTTCGTCATCCTCGGCACCACGGTGAGCCGGGGCCTGGGCGTCCAGGGAGCGCGGCCCCGCGGCCCCGGCGCTGAAACCTCCCCTCTCCGCAGGCCAACAGGAAGCAGTCCCTGAACTACGGCTGCATCGTGGCCAACGCCGACACGCACGAGGTACCGGGTGCACCTTGGGCCGGGGTCTCGTCCTGCCCGGGGCAGGCCCCCCCCCCCGGGGCGTAGCCAGGGCGCAGTGCTCACGGGGTCCCACCCCCAGGTCCTGCACTACGTGGAGAAGCCCAGCACGTTCGTTAGCGAGGTCATTAACTGTGGCATCTACCTGTTCACGCCTGCCATCTTCCAGCACATCGGCGAGGTCTTCCAGAGGAACCAGCAGGAGCTGCTGCTGTGAGTGCCCCCCCCGCGCCCAGGCCGCGGCCCCACGCTCATCCGCCATGATCTCTCTCTTTCTCTTTCTCCCCCTTCTCCTCTCCTCTTCTGTCATCACTCGTTCGCGTCCTGGCTCCTGCACCAGCTATTCTTGCGTCGGGTAAGTCTGTCTGTCTCTCCTGGCGCTGGCGCTGGGGCCGGTGTGTAGCGCTGCGGCTGCCCGGGAGCTCTGCTTTGCCTCCGAGTCGCGCTCTGCTTGGCTGCGCCGGTCCCATCCCAGCACCGTAGAGACCAGCTCCGTGGCTGGATCTGGGGTGAGCCTGGCCTCGCCGGAGCAGCCGGGGCTTGGCGAGCTGGCCTCGCGGCAGGGAGTGCCACGTCTACTGTCTCCAGGGCCCGCGCGTACGTTCAGCGTGAGCCTTGGGCAGCTCTAGCGCCTTCCCGGCCAAGACCTGGCCGCAGCCGGCTCTGGACTGCAATGCTGCGGGCGTGGAGACGAGCCGAGGAGAAACGTGTCCCTTCTGGGAGCTGCCTGCCCAGCTGGGCGCTGCTTCCTCCGCGACTCAGGCCTGGCTGGAGGGGGCTGCGCAGTGCCGGCGGGGGTAGCAGCACGGGCACTGCTCCAGGCTGGGTCCCAGACTAGCAGTGCTGCCACGGAGCAGTGGTGCGGACAGGTCGGCCGGACTCACTGATTTGAGTCCTGCAGGGCTGGGTCGTGGGATCCTGCCCTCATCTGGGCTGTTCGGGGGGTTCGCCCAGTCTCTCCCCCAGCCCTGTGCAGCCAGCCAGGCCCTGGGGACCCACAGCTGGAGGCTCAGCCCCTTCCCCTAGCGCTGCTGCCTGGGGTATGGGTCTCGCAGCCCCTGGCCCTCGCAGCCGGTCCGGGGAGGCTCAGCTGCAGGCGCCCCCTCCCCAGGCGCTTGCGGGCACCGGCCCTCGCCGCCCCTGACTGCCCGTGTCCCCGCAGCGAGGAGACGTCCAATGGGTGGCAGCGCGCCGAGGTGATCCGGCTGGAGCAGGATGTCTTCACCGCGCTGGCCGGGCGCCGCGCGCTCTACGTCTACAAGACTGACGGCTTCTGGAGCCAGATCAAGTCGGCCGGGTGGGTGCGGGGGCCGGGCTGGGCGGGGGTGTGGGGCTGGGCCAGGTGCCGCCTGACGTTCTTTTCCCCCAGCTCCGCCATCTACGCCAACCGCCTCTACCTGAGCCGGTAAAGCC